CTTTGCATTTTCCTCTATAAATGGAACCATTTTCCTCTTTGTGTAAGTATATGGAATTTTGTAAGAACCTTTTAGACCCCATGTTATATTATTTGCTTTAGTAAAACTTCTAAGACCTCTTGGCACCAGTTCTTCCAGAAAAAGATTACAATTTCTAAGTGTTTATATTGACATAGAATGCTGTTTTAACTCAGACACCTGAGGAAAAATATATCATTAATTACATATCTATACATGATTTATTTGCTTTTGAAAATTGTTTAGGCTAAAAAATTAAGAAAGCACCTGATTCATGGTTTTGTGTGGAGCCTTGCCAGTATTTCCTCCTAAGACAGAAATATGAAGCAAGTTTTCTTTGGTCAATTTTAAGGAGATTAATCTCATCAGTGAAAAATCCACAGGCAGAATCCAATTTAACACTAATCAACTTTCAAAAATCAACCTAAAACCAGCACATTCAGCTTTAGGCTACTAGGAAATGAATTTGAGGGGGAGACACAGCATTCAATTAATAAGTCAAATGGTTCTGGATCAGGATAGAGTCATGTACTGAGCCTTTTATCTAAGAACTACTTTGCTCTTTTTTCAGGCTTATGTCCTACAATTACCAGAATGTTCTAGCCTTCATTTTTGCCATCGAAGAAATCAACAGGAATCCTCATCTTTTACCCAACATATCTCTGGGATATGATTACCATAATTTACTTTACAGTTACTGGAAATTATTAGAGAGTGTCCTCATGTTATACACAGGACAAAAAGAGACACCTAACTATAGCTGTGGGAGAGAGACTAAGTCCATAGCATTGCTAACACGATCACCATGGGTAATTTCTTCTCAAATCGGATCATTGCTTGAGCTCTACAAATTTCCACAGGTGAGGGATGGTATATAGGGAGGGATAAAATTATGTCATATTAGTTGACAGTTTCAGGTTCAATTCCTAAGAATGGCAAATGGATGGACTTGGTTTGTGTTACACAAATTGTACAACCCCTAAGTGTAACACAATGAGATTTAACCATTACTCACATTTTGTTTATGAACATCAGAAAGGAGGGACAGAGGAAATTAAAGATTTCCTAAACTGAGTCTGCTCAGTTATTTTCTAAAACAGGATACTTATGAAATGAGATGATTAAATAGATGGGACAATGAATATTGCTTCTGCAATTTTCATCTGTTTCTTAATGCTCTTGAGGTTTAAGACTGTGCTTTTGTCAACTCTCTTCACATAACTCCCAATTTTCATTTCCTTTTAGCTTACCTTTGGCACTTTTGATCCTGAGTTCAGTGAAAATGGCCAGTTTCCTTCTCTCCATCAGATGGCTCCAAAGGATGCATTTCTGGCCCTTGGAATGGTTTCCTTGATGCTTCATTTCACCTGGACCTGGGTGAGACTGATCATTACAGAAAGCCAGAATGGTTTTTGGTTTCTCTCAGATGTGAGGGGAGAGATGGACAGGAATGGAGTTTGTGTACCATTTGTAAAAATGATTGCAAATGCTTTTGTATCCTACCTCTCAGTTACAATGCTGCAAGATTTCCTGACTAGGGAAATGCCACCAGTAAATGTGGTTATTATTTACTATGATACTGATAGTCTAAATCATATCAACTATCAGATAGGGGTACATTTAGTGACATGGAGAGTCTGGGTCACAAACTCTCAATGGCATGCTGACATGGCTGGGAGAAATTTCGTCCTTGATTCATTCCATGGGACTCTCATTCTTTCACACCTCCATGATGAAATTTCTGGTTTTAATAAGTTTATCCAGATAGCTACCCCCTTCAAATACCCAGAAGACACTTTTCTCACTCTGTATTGGTTCCAGAATTTCCACTGCTCATTCTCTGATTCTGACTGTTCGCTGAAGGACTGTACACCTAATGCTTCTCTGGCATGGCTGTCTGTGAATCATTTTGACACAGCCATGAGTGAAGGGAGCTACAACACATACAATGCTGTATATTCGGTGGCCCATGCCCACCAGAAGATGCTTGCTCAACAAAGCCAAGCACTACTAATGGGAAATGGGGGCACTATGGTGTTCTCCCCCTGGCAGGTAATGTATATTTTATTATAAGGCAGGCCCTGTTATCAGGGTCATTTTAAAGTGCCTTCTGCAAGTGCTCAAATCCAGTAAACAAAAATCCTTTTTGAAAAACTCAAAAGATTCTGTATTAATTTTATTGTTGAGATAAATTTTAACAAGGAAATGAATCAAGATCATTACATTGGTTCCAAAGAATGTTAATGTTTTACTTACCTCAAGTTTTCAGTAAAAATCAAAATATTTACCATACAGTTTTGAAAAAGACAATTGGATAATGTATATTACCTTGGGTAACAAATTGTGCTAAACACTACAGCAGATATTTTATCAAAAATTGACATTGAATTGTACAACCAGTTTGGTATTGATAACCTCATTTTGCCATTAGATGCTGTGGGAACAATTACAAAAATGTGAGCAGAAAGCTTTATCATTCAGATAAACCATATATTCACATGGGTTTTGTTGAAATATCTTCTCTTATAGCTGATATTTTATATACATTATGACATTTAATTTATTCAACTTCATTTGATGCCTTGTTAAAGTTCCACTCAAAACAAGCAATAAAGATAATTAGATACTGTCCCCTATTCAGGTTTTGTTTTCTAACACTGGGATCCAATTCATCATAAAATAAGGCATCCTTTTCAGCTGCACTCCTTCCTGAAGAACCTCTGGCTGAAAAATTCCACTGGAGAACTAGGGAACTTAGACACAAAAAATAAAACAGATGAAAAGTATGATGTTCTCAACTTGTGGAACTTTCCAGAAGGCCTTAGACTTAGGATGAAAGTTGGAGGGTTTTCCCCTCATGCTCCACTTGGTCAACAGCTGTCTGTATCTGAGGAGATGATAGAGAGGGCTGCAGGAATTACTGAGGTAAGTTGGATCTGCACTTTGCATTTTATTAGACAGAAATGAACAAAATCTTGTATATTTTGTGCCCCACCCTTGGTCATAAATGGTCAAAAATGAAAATTTGACAATTCACCTTTCATTAAAAAGCATTTTATTTGTCCGATTTCTGATGAATGGGAATAAAGCTCATTTACTTAACCATATTTTGGTCAATATTCACATTTTTATCATTAAGTAAATATGGGATTCAAGCAAGTATTTGGACTTAAGCATTTATACAAATTAAATCTGTCACTATGGTTGTGAAAGATTAAGTAGAATTTAAAAATGTTATCAACACTCATCTGATTGTCCCCAGACTCCGCGCTCTGTATGCAGTGAGAGCTGCAGTCCTGGATTCAGGAAATCTCCTCAGGAGGGAAAGCCTACCTGTTGTTTTGATTGCACCCCTTGCCCAGAGAATGAGATCGCCAATGAAACAGGTAAGAGTAAAACTTCTTGACCAGCTGTCTTGCTTTCTTTTGTCTCACATAACTGCAAGAAAAGAATATAATTTTGAACAGAAGAGCAAAGGCAAATTCTTTCTTCCTTTAATTAACAATTTACCTCTGTAAAATTACCCTTTCAAAAACCACATTCACTGTCCCTTAAGCTATACTTCAGATCATTTCATTTTAATTTTGCTTTCCTTGAAATGGGATGCAGAGACCATCTACAACTGGGCCACATCTTCAGACCTTTTAAATTTGTTATTTTGGGGAAGACTTTCACTAAGTTGTGCAGGTTCATTTAAAACTTCTTATCCACCTACCACAGCTTCCAGAGGAGTGGGGAATATAGGCTTGATCCCCTCTACCTGGCTCTTTGGTGTATTTTTCTAGACCCACTGAAAGCATTATGTTCCCAGCCCATTATGGTGATGCATGCCTATTATCTCAGAACTCTGGGAGGTCAAGGCAGAAGAATTGGTAGTTGAGCTCTACCTGGGACAAGTTAGTGACCTAGTGAGACAATTTTTCAAAATCAAAAATCAAAAAGGGCTGTAATGTAATGCAATGTGAACCCCCTGGGTGTTGTCCTCAGTTCCAGAAAAACTAAGTAATGAGAAAGTGCTATGTTTTCAAGGGGAAATAAGAATAAAGATATGCTGTGTATGGGAACCTAATGACTCCAATTAATGTAAACACTATAAGCCATAACATGAGCTAAGATATGTAATAACAAGTATGAAAAATAGGATGGGGTGGGGCAGGGCAGGAGGAGGTTACAAAATGAAGCAAGCTGTAGTATGTAAACATAACCACTCCCCAAGATGATTACAAACTGCATGAACCACAAACATGTACTAATAAGACTATTTTTAAAAGAATAAGTAATGAATGAAATGAAAAAAAACCCTCTTTACTTCCCAACATTACTTCTGTTTCACCTCCATCATTATATTTAACAGAATATTATTAAGTACCAACACTTCAACTTCTGTGAAACTACATTTAGATACTATTGAAGACAATGATCTTCCAGATTCTTACTTTCTCAGTACCTAACACTTCCCTTGGCACAGGTGCTGGAGGGATTGTGTGAGTGTAAGACAGAGGTGTGCATCAGTGTACAGCATGTTCTAGCCTTACCTCAATCCTTAGCATTTTATCCCTGCTCTCCTGGAACTCATAGGAGATTAAGGGAGATGGCATCCTGGGGTACATTCCACAAACTGTGCGTTTAAATTTTTGAAATGACTCTGAAATAAGCACTGTCATTAATCCCACTCAAAACACTCTTGCTTACGTTGAACACACTTATCCCATAATTCTTGCCACTATCTGAAGTGGTCTTTGATAAGCATGTTAGTTTTCATTCTTTGGCTGCAACATCTCCAAAATGTTTACCTTGTACATTCATGTTGACTTTGGGGGAGAGCCAGAGGGAGCTCTGTGGCAGACCCAGTGATCAGGTGGATGAGGATGCGCCATGTTTTACACCCCTCCTTTCTCATTGAAAGGGGCTTAGCAGCAGGGCTCCCTGAATGCTCGCCTCATAGAGACACGAAAGAGGACTTTCAGAACTGATTCAGAAAGGGGAAAGAGCGATGGGATAAGGGCCTTCAGACCAAGAGGAAGTATTTTGAGAGAAATTAGTGGCTATGTGCCTTTTACTGACATAAATTTTTAAAAACGTTAACATTAGCCATTCTTTTCAATCACACATTGCATATTGACATGAGTTATGGTTGGTGACACTGAGCTGCAAGGGTTATATTTACACAGAATATAGGATGTAATCAATGACTACATCTACATTTTCAATCAATGTATAATAATTTTATTCACAGAGCCCATAGCATCTGTATTATATTAGATGACTATAAGGTATGATCATTTCTTGATATGATTAACAGAAGTAGAGATCATGAATTCCTCACAATTTGTATAGTAGGTGAAATATATATAATGAGGTTCAATGTTATTGAACAAGACAGAAGATGGGGATGAATTTTGTGCATGGTGCAGAAACGGTATAGAAAACTAATGTTGAAGATTTTTGAATATCATAGTATCATCTTGGTAATAACTGAATTTATGGTAATAAGTGTTCACATGTTAAAATTGTCTCTCTGCTACATATTATTTATTTATTTATGATTTATGTGTGTTTTCGTTTTATAATTTGCTTAGGATTATTTTAAATTAGTTTTGAAATATAATAAATTTGATATTATGTACAAGACAGTTATGTTGGGTGTGCACAATCACATTGGTTGTGTGATAATTTGAAATATGGGTTCAATGTGGATTTATAAAGAAGAATGCATCTAAAATCAGTTGCTTCTGGTTTAAGAAATACACTCTTCAATGACATGTGTTTACTATTTGATATTTCAAAAGTTTTTTAGTGTCTGTATTTGAGAATATTACTTATGAAAGCTTTGGGTTGAAGGTGAAACTACCTTTGAAACAAAATGTGTACCTTCTATATACTTATATGCTGTTATATATTTATATAAAAAGGCTTAAGTTCAGCATTTGAAGATTTTATCAGAAATTAGAAAAAATGAGAAAATTCAAGAAATAAAATTCATTGTAAGAAACAATATGGAAATAAATCTTAAGAAAATGAATTCATGGAGAAAACAAACAATAAAACTAAAGTTGATTCTGTTAAAAAAACCTGATAACCTTTATATAGTTGATCAGGAATAAAAAGAAAATTTGCAAAATAAAAAAAAACATAATTACTAAGTAATTGGTCATTTGCACAGATAAGCCAGAAATCTTTCATATAAAAATTGTATGAATAGTTTTACATGAATCTATGAAAAATTTCTTGGAATTCAGAAATTCAAAAGAAAACAGAAAACCACCCTAAGAAAATTAGAAAACAATGCACAGTATCATATGTATTAACCTATAAGATCATAATTTAGTACTTTCTCAAAATTTCTACAGTGTTTAAAGCCTCACTGGTGAAATAGTGTTGTGTGTAAGCATTCAAGGCCACATTAATACTAATTACTCAAAATCTTTCACAAAAATTACAAAGTGGAGAGCAAGTTATTTTATGTGAAGAGTTAAATTCTTGCACCCATTGCCTCAAATGATTGCAGGACAAATTTTACACTACTTTTCTTTCTGAAGGCTATGCAAAACTATGACGGGGGCCTAGACCAGAAACACATTTGATTTACCAAACATAATTGAGTACACTAACTTCTTGGAAAATAAAAATAAAACAAATAACTAAAAATATAATACCCTGAGCACTTTTTGATAATTCAGAAATAATGACAGTAGCAACTCTTACTAAAAATTAGAAGTAGGAGGAAATTGTCTCATTTCCATAAATAATATTTACCAAATGCAAAGCAGATATTGTATTTTGTGGTTTAATGTGGAAAACAAGAATGAGACAAACATTGTCCATGTGACTACTTCTATTATTATGCTGGAAGACCTGGCCAATACAATATTTTCAGGGAAGTAAAAGTAAAAATTTCTCAGAAAAGATTTAGTATAACTGGTATTATTATCCAATGTTAGTACTGTGTAAGCATAAAATCCTAGTGAATTAATGACTTTATTTACTGGTGACTAAATAGAAGATTTATGTTAAGATATTCTTAGAATTCACTCATATAACATATGAAGATGAAATTTATAAGATAATTTTATTACATTTAAAAGTAAAAAATATCTACTGATGAATTCTTTTAGTGCTTGTAATTAGTGATAAATTAAAGGAAATAATTTACAAATACAAAACTGATATATGCAGTTGGATAAAACATGTTATTAGATGGAAGTTTCAATGAAGAAGAATGGCAGTACTTACCAAATTGATATGCTGATTCTAGGCAATTTCAGTAAATATTCAGTTATGTCTTTTGGTGAAAATTACTACCTTATATAGGGTGACAATTCTTACTCTTCCTGTTATGAAGTCCTACTGGAAATGTCTGCTTACCTGAAACCTCTCAAATTATGGTGGTCTGTCAATAATTGATTAATGATTGATTGAGAACTCAGAACAGCACATACAGAGATTTAATTTAGGTAGTCAGTGGACTGTTCTTTGTGAAAAAACAAGTACTTTTATGAATATGACAGATTAATAAAGACAATAAAGGTCATCCACAACTTCATAATAATCTGACTAGTATTTATGAGGAATTGTTTCTTATATAATATACTACACGTGTGGAAAAAAGTTAGGAATTTTCCTCAAGTAACAATGAGCATATTGGGGTAAGGCCTGTGAATATGAGACAAAAACTGAAATTGTAGTCATGATAATTTGAATTTCTCACTAGACATGGAGCAGTGTGTGATGTGTCCAGACCATCAGTATGCCAGCATTCAGAGAAACCACTGCCTCAAGAAGTCTATGACTTTTCTGGACTATGCAGACCCCTTGGGGAAAACACTGGGAGGATCAACCCTGAGCTTCACTATTATCGCAGCTCTTGTTCTTAGCCTATTTGTGAAGCACCAAGACACTGCTATTGTCAAGGTCAACAACCGGACTCTCAGTTACATCCTGCTCATCTCTCTCACCTTCTATTTCCTCTGCTTCTTTCTCTTCATTGGCCATCCCAACACAGCCACCTGTATCCTCCAGCAGACTGCATTTGGAGTTGTGTTCACTGTGGCTGTTTCCATTGTCTTGGCCAAAACTATCACTGTGGTTCTTGCCTTTAAGGTTACTGCTCCTGGCAGAAGGATGAGACAGTTGCTGGTATCAAGGGCACCTAACTACATCATCCCCATCTGCTCCCTCATCTAACTCACTCTCTGTGGAATCTGGATGGGAACAAATCCACCCTACATTGACACAGATGCTCACTCTGAACATGGCCACATCATCATTGTGTGCGACAAGGTCTCTCTCATTGCCTTCTACTGTGTCCTGGGATACCTAGGCTCACTTGCCCTGGTGAGCTTCACTGTGGCTTTCCCGGCCAGGAACCTGTCTGACACCTTCAATGAAGCCAAGTTCCTGACCTTCAGCATGCTGGTGTTCTGCAGTGTGTGGGTCACCTTCCTCCCTGTGTACCACAGCACCAAGGGGAAGGTCATGGTGGCCATGGAGGTCTTCTCCATCTTGGCCTCCAGTGCAGGGCTGCTGGGCTGCATCTTTGGCCCCAAGTGCTACATTATTTTGTTAAGGCCAGAAAGAAATTCTTTGCATGGATTTAGACATAAAGCACATCCTGGAAGAAAGAAGCCTTCTTAAGTAAAAAAAATTCTTTTACTAAATGCAGAAATATTCTAACACAATTCTGCATGATATTTTCCAGTTTTATATTAGATTATACTATGGTATTTACTTGAATAATCAAAGAAAATGTTCTTCTTGGTGTAAGAGCATTGCAATTCCCACCACTTGTAATAATTTCCTTTTTAATTTGAATTTTATTCAGAATGTTTGTTCCATTAATTCTATTACAAACAATCTTATTTTTTATTTTCAATTTTGTTATGTGATTCAATTTATTTTGCCTTCCTCTTGGCTCTGATTTTTACTTTTTACTCATTTTAATAACTAATGGTTATATATAAATCAGTGTTCCTGAATCCTTAAGTACATTCCATTGTTTTTTATTTCCAAGAAATGTCATGCTTATAATATGGTTATATTATAATTATTTGATAGCTTATTATGTAGTTTTTTTCTTTCTCACATTTGTCTTTTGCAATATTCATGAAGGTGTTTTGTAGAATTTCTCTCATTGTCATGTGCAGTAACTAAGATTTTTAAATGCAACATGGCAAGGTATTGAATTTAAATGTCTATTTGGGGAAGAACTAGGAACTATGGAGAAGTGATTTTTTTCTATTCATGATTTTATATATCTTTCCATTTACTTTTATTTAATCATCCATTATTAATATGATACATGATTTTATATGTGTGTCTTATTTTGTACTCTTTATGAATACCTGTACATGATATATATGAAACAGTTTTTCCTGCCATATTTCTTCCTGGGTATTATTTTGAATTTCTCATGACATTTACAGAATGAATAGCCCACCAAACCTTAGCCAAGATAGCACCATTTTGTTGTGCACCAGTGTTTACCTGTCTGTTGTGTCCTCACCAGGTGTTGAGGCTCTGTGGCAGATTCTGGCACAAGTCATCCAAACATGTGACCTGACAATACTGGTGAGACTCACAGGGTTTGTAATAAGAATAGGACAGCAATACATTTATACATAAATTTTTCAAGACTCCTGTTCATCCTGATTTTTGGCATTTAACAGATTCATAGATAAACTGTGCCTTGGTAGGCAGGATTTGTCAACTTTTGTAGTGCAGCTTTCCATAAGTTATACACCATGCTGCATATGACTTATAATAAAATTATTTACTCATCAAAGTGGACTTCTCAAAGTCATTCTTTGGACTCTCTGTGCCATCCCAATTCAAAGACTGTTTCCTTCAATCATCTCTAGAAAATCATGAAACACTTGGTGCCTGAGTAGGGATGAGTGACCCAAAGGTGACTCAGAGCAGAATGGAAATCCTGGGGTAGCCCTCTTTTATGTGATATTAGGTGGCATGCCTTGTTAAATTGTGGTTCAACAGGAGAGTGCATGGTCACGTGAAAAGTGCTGAATCCACTAAGGAACATGTGTCAAACTCTGGTGATAATACATGTGTGACAAGGGTGCAGCAAATGTGGGTGGTAGTGTGCATAGTGATACTTCCTATCAAATCTGAGCAATCTGCCCTGGGGAAACTCCAAGATGGTGACTATCCTGGATGTCTGATAATCCCCCTGTGATTGCAGGGATGGCCTGAAGGTGACCTAAAGTGTGGGGAAAATATTACTTTTTTGTTAAAGAGCAACCTTCAAAGGAAAAGAAAACTGAACATGATTACAGTGGTTGTGGTCAATCTTATGGCAAGGGGAGGACATGCTGAGTTCTAAGCTCAAACCTGTGCAAAGGTAATTACAAGAGGAAGAATCCTGGAATAAAGCTGTTAAAATGCCAGTGCTCAGGGTAGAAAGAGCCAGGAAGGTGGAGATGGTAGCTTCTTTAAGCCTGGAGAACCATCTCAAGCTGGAGTCTAAACTCAAGTTGATTTACAGAGATGCTCTGGCCACAAATCTGGATGTGAGGCAGGAGTAAGTATAGCTTTTGGGCAGTGCACTGCCTGAACAGGGTCTTGTGTGTTATCAGGTTAAGCTTAACCCCTGACTCAGGTTAAAAAAGGAGAGGGAATGAAGCTTCTTACTTTTCTGTGTAAACTTCAAGGGAACCCATTGTGTAACATCTTGGGTGGTTGGTAAAGTTACTTTTTGATTCTATGGTCTATTCTAATATTGTATGTGACTTTTACAATGAATAATTTCTTATCAACAGTATGAAGAAGGTCTTTAAACTGCAGTTACAGGGTTAAATTTCTCTTCTGCTAATTTCTATTTACAGTAAGATAATTTTGTCATTCATTCCTGTAAATAGTGGAAGGTTGTCCAGCCCAAGTTGGAATGTAACACCTACGAAAATAAAAAAAGACATTTTACAATTTGAGTGGTTTCAAAACATATGACAGCAAGTAAGCAGTATGTAGGAGTTAGAAAAGAAGATAAATTATTCATACTAGGATATACTTTTTGTAAGTAGATATTCTATGTGATTTTTTCCTACCAGAATGGTAAAAATAAGAATGTAATCAGAAGGTGTGAGCTAGTCAGAGACACTTTGTGAGAGTTGAGAATTGGGAAATAGGAAGAAAATGTTGAAATGGGAAGGGAAACAAGGGAGAGGGAAGAGCAAGGAAATAAATGGAAAAAGGGAAAAATGTGAATAGCAGGAAAAAGTGGAAAGAAAGATTTTGTATGTAAAAAGGAGAAAAATGGTAGAAGGGAAGGGAGAGGAATAGGGAAAAAAATAATAAGATGTATTATGTACAGGCACAAATTCTCCATGATAAATGTAATCATTATGTATAGATAAATTGTACCAATAAAATTGTTTCTTAGAATTTAATAAAATGATAATTAAAAATGTTACATCTGCTGGGTCTGGGGCCTAGGGGTCCCCAGACTCACCCTCAGTGGGCCTCTCCAAAATAGTAAGACTAAGAAGAGTAAGAGAAGAGCAGTGTGAATCAAGAGTGTTTTATTATGTGTATTGTGAGAGAAAGTGGTACACAGCCACTTTTCTTTTTTTTTTTTTAGTTCTTTTATTGGTACATTTTAGGTATACAATTCATTTACATTTATCATTGGGTGTTTGTACCTGTACATGATATATCTTGGTTCTTATTTTTTTCCCCCATTACCTGTGCACCTTTCACCCGCTCTGCCTTTCCCTATTTACATAGATTTCATTTCCATTTTTTTTCTTTTCTCATAGTTTTTCCTTTCCCTCTTTTCCTTTCTCTTTCCCCTCCCTTCACCCCTTCATCTTTGGACCTTTTTTCCTGTTTCAAATTATCAATGATTCATTTTAAACATTTTAACTCTTGTTTACACTATCAGTTTCTCACACTAGTGAAACTATTTAGTATTTACACGTGTGTCCTATTTATTTCACTTAAGAGTATGGCCTTGATACGCATCCATTTAGCTATAAATGACTCTAGTTTTTCATTCTTTATGGCTGAGTAGTACTCCATTTTATTAAAAAAAAAACAAAACCCACACTTTCTTTATCCAGTTTCCAGTTGATGGGCACTTGGGCTGCTTCCAAGCTTTAGCTATTACAAATTGTGCTACTATGAATATGGGTGCACATATATCACTGTGGTATGATTCTTTTAATTATTTTGTGAAGATATCCAGCAGGGGAATAGCTGGGTCAAATGGGACCTCTAGTTCTAGTTCTTTGTGGTATCTCCATACTGACATCCACAATGGTTGCACCAGTCTGGACTCCCACCCACAATGGAGAAGTGTTCCTTTCTTCCCACAGCCCTGCTAGCATTTGTTATTTGTTGATTTCTTGATAGAAGCCATTCTTTCTGGAGTGAGGTGGAATCTCAGTGTTGTTTTCTTCTGCATCTCTTGAATGATGAGTGATGTTGAACATTTTTTCATATATCTGTTTGCTGCTTTTACTTCCTTGTCTGAGAAATGTCTGTTCATTTCAGATGCCCATTTTTGAATTGGTCGTTGAATTTGGGGGGTTTGATTTTTTTTCAAATCTTTCTTCTTTATATATTCTAGATAGTAGTCCTTTGTCTGAGGTACAGCTGCTAAAAACTTTTCCCATATTGTAGGTTGTCTGTTAGCTCTGTTGGTGGTTTCTTTTGCAGTGCAGAAGCTTTTTAATAAGATGAAATCCCAGGTGTTGATTCTTTCTGCTAGTTCCCATGCTGCTGAGGTTTTCTTCATAAAGGCTTTTCCTATGCCAATGTCTTCAAGAGTTCTACCTAACTTATCTTCCAGCAAGTTTAGTGTTTCTGTCTTA